GTTGTACAGGAATGACTTCCTGTCTTGTTCAGTGGTGCATTTTGGTCATCTCAGTCTCTCACTGAGCATGCTCCTGCGACTGGCCAGCACATCATGGAGTCAGTGGGAGGTATTGTCCTTATCTTGGACTCTCCAACACCACCTTAAGAAAGTCCAGCTCCATCCCCACAATGTTACTTGGTTTGGGGATCAGTTTATTGAGTCTGTTGGCATCCACAACCCCCAACCTGCTTCTCCAGCATACAGCAGCACAGAGGATGGCACTGGCCACAACAGACTCGTAGACAATCCTGAGCATTGTCCGTCCAACAGATATTAAAAGAGTAGAGTGCAGTGGTGTTTTTAACCCATTTCAGTTTATTGTCAGTGTGTAGTCTTCTACTCTGTGGATCCCCCCTTTGGCCACCCTATGGCACCCAATGGTAAATAGCTACAGACGGATTCCACCTCAGAGATCTGCTGCCAGCCTTCTGGCTACTCTTCAGCTCAGCCAGAAAACAGTCCAACTGGAAAGTCAAATTTCCACCCTCCAACAAATCCAGGAGAGTGAACTGCTGGTGGACTCCCTGGCTGCTGACACCTCCTGCAATCCCAACAACACCACATTTCCATGGCTCAGAACCTCAGCAAACACACATCTGGAGGTAGCCATGGTGACCACCATGCTCGATGAGGACTCGTGGCTCAGAGAGCTGTCATAGAGGGTGACAGCTGGGTCACTAGAGACATGGCTCTCACCGGTCTGCACTGCACACAACGTCTCCTTCACTGACAATTTCAGTCTGTTCTGAGAACTCATTTAGCTATTCAGATACAAGCGTTCAAACGAACTTAAACTAAAACGTCTGTTCTCAAACATCTCCTATTGTCCACTCAGTATTCCCATTTCAGCAGGTTAAATCAGTTCTTTACCACCTATTCAGTCTGAGCAGTCCAGCTACTATCATCTGGGTGCTTATGCCAGTCCTAATCGACCTGCACTTTTTCCAGCTGCTCATCATGTGGAGCTGAGAACTGGTTCTGGTAAAGAACCTGATTCCAGTTTGTGTGGCGAGAAGGAAAATAACGTACTGCACTACTAATGGAATTGCTAAATTCTTATTAGTATTCCTATCCATAGCTTACAACCTGGATAAAAACATTATTCCTATAATTCCCATATTGGGACCTCATGATCACATAACTCCTCAACATCTACAGTTACTAATACATCAGTATATTACTTACTCTGCTCATGTTAAAGCAATAACAATGGATCAGTCACCAACAGGAAGCCAGCAGACCTCAAAGATCCTGTGATGTTGTTCACGTTAAACCCCGTCGATCCGTGTCACGCCCTGCAGTTTAAAACATGGCCTTCTATTTGGACAATCTTCAGCAAACCTTCTTTACTTTACCCCGTCCCCACCAAACTGTTCAGATCTGTATCTCACTTTTTATAAACCATTTAGTAAATATTATCAACAGCTCTCTACAGTCTGGCAGGTTCCCTGTGTCACTTATATGTACTGTAATCTATTGGTACTTTAATCTATTGGTACTTTAATCTATTGGTACTGTAATCTATTGGTAACTAATAATCACAGACCTATGTCTAATCTTTTACTCCTCAGCAAAGTATTTGGAAAATCGTTTCAACTCACAGTCTTAATGATAAGTAGCAGTCATGATTCAGAGCTCATCATAACACAGAAACAGCTCTTACTAAACAGTTATTCAGAGATGGTCTTTCTGAATGGAGGAGGGGGCCTAAGGGTACATCTGTCACCATCTTACAATGCTGTGATTGCAGCCATTCCCCAACTCTCTGTGAATGGGACTCATGGCCATTGATCAGTGGTCTTTGATCAGTGGGTTTTGGTCAGTGGTTGCTGATCAATGGTCATGAGAATTTGCATAATTATTATCAAGGAACTGACCTTACAGCCCATTGTTCCTTCAGTGGGCTGGTTTCAGTCATTATGCAAATGTGCTGTTTATAAGATTGGGGAAACCTGCAGTCAGCAGAGACTGAAGAAGTCACTTGGATGAGTGACGAAACGTTTCTCCCAGAATACGCTACGTCCAGATGAACAGAATCAACTTTTGGAAACCTAATTCAAAGGCTTTGTGACACTGTTGGTTTAACAGGTCAGGTTCTTGATTGGCTCCCATCAAAATCAAAGGGTAAAAACTGAAAATTCAATCAGAGTTTCTCCAGGGTCAGTCCTTGGTTTATTTAATCGCAAATGGACTGGTTCTTCTATAACGCTTTTCTAATTTACATACTCATAGTTATTTATACAACATGCCTAAAACAAGCACTTTCTGCTGTCTAACATTCACACTCCAATGGATGCTCCAGAGAGGAACACAGGTTGTTATCTTCAAAACGACACTGAGAAAGTGGATCCTGTTCATATTGAGTAGATTAGTTCTAGTTCAATTCAATTGAGCTTTATTTATAAAGTACCAAATCATAACACCAGCTGCCTCAAGGAGTTTTATATTTTGAGGTAAAGAACTTACAATATTACAGAGAAAGCCCCAACGAGCAGATGACCCCCTGTGAGCAAGCACTTGGTGACAGTCTGGATGAAAAAATCCCTTTTACCAGGAAGAACCAGGCTCAGGATGAGGCAGCTACTGGTGAGATTATTAGAATAGATTATTACAATGCTCTGTTTGCAGCACTCCCCAAATCATTAGTAGGACGTCTTCAGCTCATTCAATGCTATTCATTTGGCTCCAGGGCAATATAGAATTACCTTTAAAATTCTTCTATTAGTCCCCCCGCCCCGGTACATCTCTGATTGCTCACTGTCTACAGCCCAGTCAGACCTCTCAGGTCATCAGATCTTTTAACTGTTCCCAGAATCAGATGTCAGTTTGCTGAGAGTGCTTTCTGTTATTGTGGTCCTGTTCTTTGGAACAAGGTGCTTGCTGACCTCTATTACATCTGTTACTGTGTAGATCCACAAACAGACTGAAAACCTTTCTTAATAATTCTCTCTGTCTAGATTTTACCAAGTAGGGTGCAGTAAAGTCAGTCATCTTTGTACAGTATAACACCTCTATACAAAATGCTGTGGAGCTTTTCACAATGTTGTATCTGTAAAAGCAAATTCTCATTTTTGTGGGACGTCCAGAAATAGTTCATGACTCACTTTTTCACCGACGCTGATGTTTTGAGTGTTTGAAACATAGCTGTTTTTCATTTGGACAAGTATCTCTACTGATCTTTATATATCTGAACAGGGGTGTTTCAGAAATATAAAGATCAGTTGCTGTCTTCCCACGTCAGGTTCATCCGAATACTCAAATGAGTTTCAAAAATAGCAACGCATGCAAGGTAGCAGGTGTACTGCTGCTTTTTTGTCATTTCTCTGGAGAATTATGTATCAAGTTTCAGCCTCTGATCTGCCCTCCTATCTGCCCCTTTTATCTCCATTCATTTAATAAAAAAACAAAAATCCTTACCCTTTGCTTTCTTTTAGGTTTCCTTATTGGAGGAGATGTTCTGCGCCTACTTCACGGTCACATGGACGAGTGCCTAACAGTTCCTTCTGGGGAGCATGGAGACGAGCAAAGGCGGTAAGGTGCAATGCTTAGTGCTGCTACTGCTCTGAAATAATTCAGTTTACGCACACACACAGAGAGTCTTAACTAGGGATGGGTATCGTTTAGGTTTTATC